TGACGTTGAAGTACTCTCCTTGTAGACTGTTTTGTTCTTACGACAAGCTCTCCTAGCCTAAAAAACCCATTAAATGCTATCAAGAAGGTAGTTTTTAATAGGAGCTGATGAACATGGAGTCTAACTACTGACGGCAAGTTTATGATCATGTTGTCAAGGATTGCTTTTGTGATTGGTAGTCTTGCGTCTGTAGATGGGGTTAGATTTTCACAACCTTTTAAAGCTTTGCGAATAATGAATAAAGCTGTAGGGTCCTGAATATTTAACATTTTATGTACATACCTTAATGCAGATATATGTGATGCTAGTGTAGCAGGTTTTAAACCTTTACTGAACAAATGGCCAATAAAGTTAGCAACATGAGCTAGCTGCAGTGGCAGAGAGATCTTTTGGTGACCAAGAAATTCAATTAACTTTTGCCATGTTTTTTGGTATGAAGCTTTTGTAGAGGGAGTCAAGGCTGAGCATAATAAATGTTTGGCTTCATCAGTCAACTCTCCAACAAATGTTGGGGAACCAGTATTGGACTTTGTTCTAACCATGGTGCTGCTATCAGTGCTTTCTGAAATTGTAAACGGGAAAGGCTATCAGCTATAACATTAGTTTTACCAGGAATGTGTATAGCTTTAAATAGAATGTTGTATTTTAAGGCAACAGCAACCAAACGACGCACAAGTTTCATTAAGATTTTGTCCTTGCATGTTTGTTTGTTGATGATCTGGACAACTGCCATGTTGTCAGACAAAAACAACACTTTAGTGTTTTGAATGTTTTCACCCCATATTTCAAGTGCAAGCACGATAGGAAACATTTCTTTTGTTGCTATTTGATGGTTTTCCAGATGACCTGGCCAAGCCATTGCAAACCACTTATATCCCATAACACCTGCAAAACTTAAAGAACCAGCTGCATCTGTATACAATGATAAACTATCAGAAGAAAGCCATTTATCAGCATAGAAAACTGATTTCGCATTAAAATGATCAATAAATGATTTCCAAATACCAATATCAGCTTTGGACTCCTTAGTGAGTCTAATGTAATGACAAGGATGAGAGACTCCGAAGGTAAGGTCAATAAGTCTTCTCAAGAATGCACGACCTGGACAAACCACCGTACATGCAAAATTCAGGAGACCAATTAAGGATTGTAACTACCTTAGGGTCACTTACTTCTTGAAAATTCATGCAATTTTGCTTGAATTTTTTCAATTTTTTTCTTGTGGTAGCCTACATTCCATTATATTAGAATCTACCTCTATACCATCAATGGTTATGACAGTTGTAGGCATTTATATAAAACATGAATAAGTTTCTTCCATATATAATATAAAAATGTATATACATAAATGATGAATTTACTCAATCATTAATCTGAATTTTAACATGTTTAAGTACTATGGTTTATAGTTTAATACACACATGATATGAAAGTATATTTTAACTGACCTAAATGACTGTTAACTTCCTTAATTATAAAAACAAATAGTAATAAAGAATAGTCACGAATTTCTTTAGGATGTTGTTAACATCGCAGTTACACATACTTTTAGTGATTTATGTAAATGCAATATCGGGTAAGTGCTCCTTTGATATGTTTTGTACCAAAACCAATAAGGTATTTCAATCTTTTATGGTAATCACGGTAAAGCTCTATACAAAGCACCAAAATGTCGTCATTCACCTGAAAAGTTTACCACACCTGTAAACAGACTTTTTCGCAAGAGATATGGTAAGACACTGTTGTCAAGTTATTAAGGATGGCATTTTAATAAAAAAAAATATATTTATAAAATAGATTCACTCATATGGTCTTTGCTTCGGGAATAAGCACATTTGTTTTTAAACAAGTTGTTAGCATGAAACAGGTTATGTATTTCTATTATAATTTATGACGCCATGCATGCAAATAAACCCCTAACGGGAAGGATTTTGGTTGATTATCATATATGAAGACATTATTCTTTCGATCAGTTAAATTGAGGTCTGAATCGGCATATAAGTAACTCTAGTAGTCCTATGTCAATTTATGTTGATCACTGTAATTCTACTTAGTTTCTTCTATTACATTTTCTAACATTTGACTAGGACTTCTTTTAAACTGAATGTTACTGTACATATAGAGATATTTTTTATTCTATTTTGTAAAAATTGAACTGCTAATAGCGAAATGTTAATTCAATAACCCGCTTAAATGTTTGAAACAAAACAATTATTTTTGTCCTATATCACAGCTTATGTCCTTTAAAGGAAAAGTGTATTCGTGATCATACAATTTGTATTCAGTTGAACCTATTTGCTTTTTTATCTAAATTTGTTCAAATACGAAGGACGTGAAATTAGAAAATCGATTTCTTTCACTTATTTGACCTTCACAATTGATTTTATAGGTCAAAGGTAAAATACATATGCACCTGATTACATATTTATTAGTTTTCATTAATAATCTGAATAAAAGGAGAGTAGGACAGTTGTTGTCATAATACTGCATGCGATAGATATTCGTATTTATTTGTTAATATTTATATCCATTTCGGATCTCATGACTATCGTGCATTTTCAAATGTCATGTAGATGAGTAATTTGAGTTCACACATTTTCAAAATGTTGTTAAAATAAATTATAACGGTCCATTGCATTTTTATTGTTTCTGATCAAAATTTTGTAATTCCGATACAACTTTAAGTAAATTATAATTCAAATAAAAGTTTAAGTTTATCTGAAGGACATGAATTTGCCAGACAATGCACAATAAAGAAAATTCTATTCAGGATTAATTAATTAAATCTTCATAGCGAGTAAAGTTTTCTTTTGACTTTGACTTTTTCAGTTAAAAGTATTATCCTTATTCTTTACATAGCCATTGATTCCAAATGATAAAGATAATCCTCGTATTCAGCGTTTATCAAAAACGTAAGCGACAACCATAATTAATGCGAAAATGCACTTTCATGTTACATATGAAAAAGAAAGCGGAAATGTCGTTCGCCAAGATTAACTTCAATCACGATTTTTCACAGGTTCATATTTTAAATAAGTTAACAATATAACTAATGACTTCAGATATGCAACAAGGAACAGGGTATGTACAAAAAGTATAAATACTAACAATGAAATTGGATTTAATAAAATAACTGAAAATATTGCAAATTTTGTAAAATCCCTAAGTTTAAATATCTTCATGATGTATAACGCAGTAGTATAGACATGACAACGGCACATGAAGCATGAACGAATTGTCAAGGTCACCGACTTTTGTCTGGTTAGTTACCTATCAACTGAACATGTTGAAATGCAGGATCAATACGAAGACATTTTTTCTTAATTGTCATAGTTATTTTTTTTAGTACTAATAACACAATATTGACTGCTTTACATTTTTACCTATTATGTCTGTTTGTTTTGTTCAGACACTGTTGTCATTATAATTGAATTGTATGTGACTGTCATACAAGTGTTATGTTTAGCTAGCTATTAAACCAGGTTTAGTCCACCATTGTATACATAGGGAAATGCCTGTGCCAAATCAGGAATATGACAGTTGTTTTCCATGTCTTTAACGTGTTTGAGCTTTTGATTTTGCCATTTGATAGGGGACATACCGTTTAAAATTTTACTTGGAGTTAGGTATTTTTATCATTTTACTTTGACAAATTATCTGTTGCCTCCATATTTAGTGGAAAGAAGTCACGTATGTAGCATATTAATAGACCGACATTTACATGATTTATAAATTTTCATTTCACTGATCATGAAAAATAGATGATGATAATATTTGACAAATTTGAGTCAGCATAATATGTCCGCTAAGGTTCTGGTTCAATTCAATACACTGGACATATTTTATATATTAAACATAGAAAATTACTTTTATACTATCAGACAGTTACATACTGAACACTAAACAATAATTCCTTTTCGAACATGGTAGTAATGTGAGCTAGTTTTGTCATTTTGTGGGTCTTTAGCAAAATGTTCAACAATTTAGTCATACATTTCCCGTTTCCAAATTGCTCAATTTGTATAAATTCAATTGGAAAAAATAATCTAAACTTGTTCAGTGTTACTGCTTTAAGCTTTTGTCTTTTTTAAAAGATCACACAACTGCATCTGGTAAAGTTGCAATGCAAAACATATATATTAAAAGAAAAACAAACAAAAACAAACAAACAAACAAGCAAAAAACAGCAGAGAAGCATCAAAGTGGAATTACAAGTAAAATTAAAGCCATTGAATACTAATGGTTAATACATTTTGCTTTGACGAACCTAAAACTATACATATACAAATTTCTATCTTCTAAATAGTATGGAGTGCTTCGCAGCATCATGACGTACGTTAGCTTTAATAATGTTTGTGTGATTTCTTAGGGAGAAAAGTTTTTTGTTTTGTTTACATAAGTATATATTAATTATTTGTTTCCATCTTCGGTCTTTTTTTTGGAGGATTTCGTTTTTATATAACTCTCAATATGTATTTGACATAACATGAGACTTATCAGGGTCCAGGCCTGTGAAGCAAAGATGAGCGCTATCCATTCTGAATGTTTCGTATTAGGCTAGACTGTGAAGGAGAAAATACCATTATAAAATTCAATGAATATCGTATTCATTAGAACAAACAAATAATTCATAACATATACAATTCGTTACATTGTAAGACTAAAAGCATTGTGGTTATACTAGGTTTCTTGCCATCCAATAAAATCCATACCGTCTATACATGATTTAGAATGAGTATGTAAAAAAAATTGCAATGCCACAATTAAAAACTTCAATGGAAATTCAGTGAAAAAACGAAGACCAAGAAAGACATATTATTTGTTGGTTCAATCCTATATATTCAGTTGGAATACACTTGTCATATGAAACAGTTATATCGTGAGCGCCCTTTATTTGCATCCCTTGAATTTTCTTATAATATTTTTCTATTTTACATGTATATATGCCTGTCTTGGTATCATTCTCGCCTTTATACGCAAACCAATATATTTAAGAAAATGGTTACTATTTTTACACGAAATCTCAAAGTCCGTCGAAAGAAAACGATGTAAGTGATCTTCAGTCTGATTCGATAGACCCGAGTCCAAAGCAGTGTTTGACATTTTGGTATCACATGTATGGGAGACACATCAACACATTGAAAGTATTTCAAGTTAAAAATACACGTTTAATTGAACTGTGGAGGAAATCAGCTAACCAAGGGAACAAATGGCATTTTCAGTCGCTGTCATTGAATGATATAGGGCGATATCAAATCATGTTTAGAGCAACTCGTGGTAATGGATACAAAAGTGAAATTGCTGTTGACGATATTTTTATAAACAACTCGGAGTGCAAGAAAGGTATGAAACTAACTTCTCTTTAATTACAACTAGAAATAACCATCGGAAGCTAAGGTATGAATACACTTTAAATAGTTATTTATGAAATAAGCTGAGTACCACAGTTTACAGTTAGCGTGATTAGGTTTCTGGTTGTTGCACACAGAAAAGTGGATGATAATTTCTTTTTCTAAATTTCATTATTTATGAAATTACAAACCAATGTAACGGTCATGATTTAAACGACAATTCTTTGTAACATATTGAAGCTTTAACTGATTATATATGCAATGCATTGAAAGCTTTGTTATGGTTACTTCTAGGAAACAGCAACCCAAACATAAAATAAATTATTTGAGTGACATATTTTCAGCAAAACAAAATATTATACTGTAGTGTAGATATTCACAGATAAAGTTAAAAAAAAGATCAAGCCAACATTTGAGATATGCAATGTGAGTTGTCCCCTTTAAAAATCGGTTGAATCATACACAAACCTTGTACATGTTGTAACATGTATAAGAAGAACATTTTTACAGTTCGAACACAGATTTTTTATAATCATTTTTAACATTTCTCTGATTTTGAAGTACGTATACATTCAATATTTATGCTGCAGTACAAATGAAAAAAAACACATCTTATTTCATGAGACTGGGAGCGACTAGGTATTCAATGAAAAAAAGAATGAAACAATAACAATTCATGATAAGATTTAGTGTATTCTGATAAAAATAAATGCAAGCACAGCCGATCTTTGTACTTAAAAGTCAAGCAAATCATGTAGTGTTTCCCCTATCACACAAAAAGGGCATGGTAACTTAATTGAAAAAGGGCATCTAGAGCGCGCAAAAATTTATAAAAAGGGCACCTACAGTGTATGGAAAATTAACAAAAGAGCACCTACAGTATGCTGAAAACAAGAAAGACAATAAATTGTCATATTGCATAGGTAAAGTATGTACTGGCAGTTGTTGATGGAATCAGAACTCAAGATAGCAAGTGTATTGTTTCAAAATAATATTGTATATGCATCTTTAAATAAAGATAAAAATCAACATTATTTCGGGTAAGAGCAATGGACCAAGGATGTATGTATATTACTAGCTATACATCTTTGTCAGACTTTGAAGGACTAAGACACACATTTAAAAGGCAGTAATTACAATGACTTGAATGATGTGGCACTTAAACATGAAGATTAGGATATAAGATCTGAAAATCTAGTTCAAAATTTCACTTCAATTAGTTTCAGGGGACAGTCCTAATCAACAAAAGTTGGGCCCTATTTTTAAACCAGGATTCACAGTTTAAATGAACTTATAGAACTTTGTAAGACTATTACACTGCATAATCAATATCCTCATAATAAGTTTAGATCGATATTAAGAATTCATTTCTATAAAGTTGGAACCAAGGAATTGTACAAATTCTTATTGGAACGATTCTAATAACTGTAAATTGTAAATTAATCGAGAATTAATCACGTTTATTTTCGATTTACAAATGAAATGTAAACGGGAAGTGACAAGTAGATAATAAATTCAGAATGAATCCGGATTCATCTACGGATTGGTTCGTTTTTAAAAAAAAGGCAGTTAATTATCATTTTTTTTAATTTGATTTGCTTAGTAAGAACTATACTTGTCTGTCTCATTTATTTTAAACTAAATTTATTTCGTAATTTACGTTTTAGTGTCTATAAATTCATAGGAATACTTTCACGCATGCGCAGTATATCGTAAACAATAAAGGAAGCACCTGTTTGACTCGTGAAACTTTTCTGAACGTTTTGAATAAAGTTCTATCTTTTTAATCGAAATTGAGCGTTTTATACCAAAGATCACGAAAATACGATCATTTGACGAAACTATGACAAACAAACTGCAAATTGTGAGCGTTTTAGAAATATTGAAATTAAAAAGCGAACTGTCCGGGGAAAAAAAAATTTGTTCAAATGACGAAACTGCGACAAACGAACTACAAATTGTGGTCGTTGGCCTTGAGAAATATTGAAATTAAAATGCCATATGACTGATTTTACTGGGGAAAATTATTATCGTGGTCAGTTATAAGGTTTATTAATAATTAACGGATTAGTGACCCATCCGATGGCGATAAGCGGATTAACTGTAATCACAACTTTATAACACCTGTTGTAAATGTTAATTAGCTGAGGGTCATAAACTTGTCAGAAACACGAAGACAGGAAGAAATGGCATTTTTGAGACAATGGCGTCATCCAAAGAAGTGAAAAAAAGGCATGGCGTCATTTAGTAAGACAAAAAAAGGGCATGGCGTCATTTAAAAAGGGGATGGCGTCTATCTATGCTAAACATGCTTGGGGGAAACACTAAAATGTGTTGATCTGAAGAAACACATTTGCATTTAAGTTATTTGAGATGATGCCTACAGCAACAGACCCGAACAAAACAATCTGTTCATTTAAGTTATCTTGTTAAAAATTAGCCCCATGTTGAAAAAATCAACAACATTACATCATTTTATTAAGTCATTAAATTTCTATTTTTTCTAAATATCATTTGATATCTCGTATAAATGAATTTTCTCGCTCGTTTTATAAAACAAGTATTGGCGAAAAGATGTTAACCAAATAAAAACTCTAAATAGCTTACTAGTTATACGTACATATACGCCTGGTTCTTGCATTAGATTTGACATGATAGCATACACAATAAATCATTCTGAAAAGTTTTTCATTTTTTGTTTAATTTGAAACAAAGTTGATACATGTAATCAGGAAATGAACTTCAAAATTGTTTCTAATCTCTTCAAGATCTCTTCCAGTATACAACAGTGTTTGTCAGTGTTTGCACGATAAGACTACAAATATGAGTGGATTAACAAGAGGGTAAACAGTGTCACTTGTAGTCTGGCTAAAATGCTATTTTGTTGTGCGAAATGTATAAGTATAATAATGTCCCACCCTTATCTTGGTTTTTCTGACTGTTTTAAACCTCCAAACATAATTGATTGGTTTTAACGTCTAGTGTAATTAATTTATTTATTTCCAGGACGAAAACTAATTAACACTCCGTTGAAAATGTAAGTTCTGCAAAATTGGTCGACCGGGTTGGAGGGCGATACTTGTGACTGCCATTGGAAAATGTTTGACAAATATACAGTGGAAAGGCATTTTTCATTGCAGTTTACCACCTTAGCCTCCATGTATACTGGCGGACTTTAGAAACGCAAAACACATTTTGGTGATTTTTTGTTTTACCAACTACTATTTATGCTTACCATACTTCTTTATGGTTAGAAAAATTCAAAACTTGACTTACCTTAGGTTTTTGAACATACCGGATTATTGACGTCGCACGAATTTCTTAGAGCGAAAGTTGAAACCGATGATTGATTTTTTAAGGTGTTTTTTTTTTGTGAAACAATTCTTTCAATTAATACCCGCTCTTCAATCATTAAAAAGAAGTTGCATCTCCATATTGCCGAGACTGCGCAATGACAATCTTATTCAAACCATCAGAATATTGCAGACAATTTCACGACAGAAACTTGTTTTGTTTTACTGACCTTACAACAACGGTACAGGCAGACGGGATTTGTTGATGACCACCCATGACCAGATCAATATGTATTGACAATGTCACGTCAACAAAATTTGATTATGCAACGTCATTTGCGCGACATGTTTACGGCCGCAACGTCAACTGCTAATCATGTCACCGAATGCCATGGCAAACAGATTCATGCCAAAAATGTTTCCCATATACTGAAATGCCAAAGAATCGTCTGCAGAAAAACATTTAAAGCCCTAAAGTTTAAACCGCTTTATTGCTAAAACACACTGTAATGTATGGGGCAGAGGCAAAACCAGAAGGTACAAAACAGAACTCAAAACATACCCAACAGACTTGGTTGACCTTTCTGACAATCATTTTGGCGTTGGTTACATGCAGTCATTGTCTTCGATGGTGACACATCCATTGATAAGGCGAAAACAAAGGTTTTATTGCATACCACATTATTTGAACATTAACAATGACGTTATCAGATCAAATTTCGAGCTGCAAACTTTTCTTTACACAATAAAGCAATGAATTAAATTTATGTTTATACATTTATTTTACCAAAATTGCATATTTGAAAATGGGAATATAAAAAAAATAATCTAGTGTTGGGTTTATTTAAGTCCGTCATTATATTTATTGTTAATTTAATCTCTTCCTAAACATGCATGAAATAATTACCACTGCACGTTGAGCATATAACGATCAATCAATCAATACATGTCTGTCTGGAAGAGGTTTTATAACCTTAATCTCATGTTCATGGTACATCGGTCAACTTTAAGTTTTCGAGGTTGAGTCCTCTTCTTAAAACCATAATGAAAAGAATGGTTGATTATATTTGATGCATGCAATTATTAAAAAATGTATATGTTCAAATTCGAGAGTTGCATCATTGGTCAACGTCAAATTTTCGCGATTAAGTGCCTTTCTCAATAACAACAGGCAAATAGAATCATCAGGGACGCTCGAACCAACAAAATTGAAAAGGACAAATAAATTACAAAGTTGAACAGAATGGAGGGTCCAAACTGAAAGATTTTGCCAAATACAGCTAACATGGCCAAGGTAAACTTTTTCTAGGGTAGAAAATCCTTAGTATTACTAAAAATTACATTTAATTTATAATTATAACCTTTCAATGATAAATCATGTCAACACAGATGTGCTGACTACTGACTAGTGAAACTCTTCGATACGAAACCTCATTCAGCAGTCGCATAGATCTAGTGGTTGTAAATTAACTCATCATAGTATCAGGCTTAACATTTTGTATGCAAGACGCGAGTTTCGTCTACAAAAAACTCATCAGAGATGGTTGAACCAAAATTATTAAAAAGGCCAAATAAAATACGAGATTGAAGTGCACTGAGGACCAAAAATATTTTGTTTTTTGTCGATCTGATGAGTAAAGCCCTTTTCAGTTGATTGTTATCGATTGTTCTTTTGATGTTCTGTTACAACAATGTTCCAGATAAGGGAGAAGGTTTGGCGCCAAAAATATATTAAACTCCGCCACCTTCTAGATCCGTATGTGCCCGTCCATAGTCAGGAACCTTTGATCAATGGTTATCATTTGTTGCTGTTTATCATATTTGTTTTTCGTTTTTTGTTTTGTACGTTAATCACGCCGGTAGTTTAGTTGTTTGAATTGTTTTACAGTTGTCATTTTTGGGCCATTTACAGCTTACTATGCGGTATGGATTTTGTTCATTGTTGAAGGCCGTCCAGTTACTAATAATTGTTAACTTCTACGTCATTTGGTCTCTGGTGGAGTAATCTCATTTGCAATCATATCACATCTTCTTATTTTTACATGTATGATCCTTGCAAAATCTTATTCGTTGCTTTCAGTCCACAAATGCAGTGTGTTATATCTTATTTATATATGAAAGTATAAAACCGGTTGATCTCTTTCATGCTTCACCAGTATTTATCAACTGTGAGAGGTTTCTTGAGATTTCAAATATTCTTACATGGAAGCTTAAACTCTATAGCCATTTCACCTTTGAGGCGGAATTTTGTAATACTCGACTGTAGTGTTCGGTTCAGTGATAGCAATATTTTTAAAGCCGATATATTGATACATGAATTAATGTCATTACAGTAAATGGTACCAGTGTTACAAGTGATTCAACAACAACAGGTAAAGACTGTTTTCGTTTATTATGTCTTACTTGTTAAAATCAGATTATCTTTTATAAAATAGAGCTGGAAGATACAAAGGGGACATTCAAAACTCATAGCTCGAAGGAAAACTGACAACACCATGGCACAAAACAAATAGACGAAAAGGCTACCATTTATCCCATTGTTTAAGTTGGCATGCATTTAGCAAAGACATTAAACAAAAAGCTTAATTATGTCATATGTATAAAAAAAAATACATATAAAATTGATACACCAACTAGTACTGACAAAGCGTGACAATTTGTCTTTCACTGATAACAAATTTCGAAATATAATTATTCCCCTCTTGCCGCCAACCGATAAAGGCTATGTAATATTATTTCTTTTATTTTGCAGGTTTAGTTGTAGGCTTGGTTATTGGTGGTTTATTACTAGCATGTGTTGTAATTGTGATTGCTCTTCTCATTAGAAGGTATCTTTAAAATTGTACTTTAAGGGTTTTAAATATTCCTTCTTTAACTGTTCGACGTAATATTCTTGCTATTTGATAACTAATATTTCCTAAATCCTTCTAAGAAATAAAACATACTCAATTTATATGCGTGAAGTTTTCTTGTAGAACTAATGTTTGCATATTTTTATTACACTATAAACAATGGCCTTTAAAAGGAAAGTCCTTAGAACTAAAGCAATATACTCTTTATGCATGTTTTGAAGGTTGATGAATTATACAGACATGACTTATTTTTACATGATTTTTTTGTGTTAGAACACAAAAATAAGTCTATACGTAATGTTTGAACAGTAGTATACTATTGTTGCCTTTGTGTATATTAAAGGCAAATATTCAAGAGCAGACCAAGAGAAAAAATTAGAAACAATCTCGGAGAAATTGACTATATTGGAGTTCAAGATATAGCTTTACCACTAACTGCCATTCAAGCCAGCCATGTGCAAAATGATGCCCACAGTAGCAATACTAGTGTTCGTGGTTTTGCCAGTACACATGCTCCTGCTAAAATCAACAATGTAAATAAAGAAAGAGTACAGGCGCCTGCATAATTATGCAGTCCATCGGAACACAATATTATCAGACACGCAAACGCTAAATGATGATAAATATTCGGTCGTGGATCAGAGAGCTGAAACAAGTTTTAATGGGACTATAGACGACGAAACTGGAACAGCAGACAATTATATGGTTTTAGATCCAGCCGAAACGGGTTTCAAATGAAAACAATGTTCTAACACTCCTTCGGGTTATGAGTTTGTAAAACCGGTTAAGGATACGGGGAACAAAATAGGCGATGAGGATCAATATGCTTTATCTGAGGACGGAGTCTACGACCATTCGGGAAGTAATCGTCGCAAAGAATTAGAGGATAACATTTACAACCATACCGTTGATACTATTTATGACGCTGGAAGTCACAAAAGAAATGATGAAGGAAGGGAAGACACATACGATCATTTCTTTGGACAAAAAACAGAAGATGATTATGATATCTCAACAACGACATGAACACATGCATAGGCATGATATATATGTATTTAGATATTTTGTATTTGTATACATTTCTTTTAGTTGGCCACTGTTTCTGATGAGGCGTAGAGCAAAAAAAAAAAACACCAAAACAATCAATCAATAAGTCGTTTAATTTGTAAATATCCTCTTCAGCTGTCGAGTTTCAAACCCGGTATTCCTTGCAAAGTACGTCACTGCTTTTCCACATAAGCTAACATAGTATAGTATAAATAACATTTTTGAAAGAGTTGAATGCAAATAAAGGCGACATGATTCGTGACGCTGAATGGTTACAGTCGGAAGAACAAGTACTTAATGCAACATAGAAATTTTAATATGCCATAACAAAGAATGAAATACTAGGTTGTCTTAAGATACTTCACAAAAAGGCAATTTTAGATTACCAAATTGTTAATGAGTCTTTGAAATCTACAGCAAACACGTTCCCAAATTTATACATAATTGTTTCCAACCGTGTATTTGAGTCAGCTAATATACAAAAACTATGATTAGGAGGATAAATATAACCATTTGTCTGTGTGTTTCTTTAAGACTCCTTCTTGGAAATAGTAAGATGTAAAATGAAAAATCTCTTGTGTGTTTTATTAGACTTTTAGAAGCCCTTTAGTAGAGTGTATCTCACCTGTGTGTGGCATAACATGATTCTTAACAATGTTACAAACATTTAAATGAGAAAAACATGTCATTTATATTTAACAAAAAAAAAAATGTATTGTCAACTGTTATATTCTCAATCAAATATTCAAATAAAATTTGTCAAAACTGTAAGAACTAAAACAATTAATAAGAATTTTAAATATAAAAATGAATTCTCTCTAAAAACATCCATTCAAGAAGACAACAATTACATGTTCACTGTCTTTACACTAAAGGTGAAATTTTCCTGTTTTACCGTATATTGTTACCACACACATGTACATATTTGCACATGCATCTTTGTATATTGTTGCTTTTTTTGTATAACTTTGTATCAGATTTTTTTTTTATCAGAATAACTTATATATATAGTAAAATCAATATCTTTGCAAATTTCAGAATTTCAATTTTTCAATTTTTATTTATATTGATAAAATCTCAGCTTTATGTGTTTATTATTAGAAAGTCATTTGACAACAAATGTTCTATTCTGAACATGTATCATCAAAGCATAGGCATGGTTGAACCAAGGTAAATGTACTCAAAATGCATTTTTTTGTGCATTGTTTTCGTCTGAGAGAGTTGAAAACATTTTGGATTTTGAAGTACATTTTTCAAGCCCGAGGAAGATAAAACAATTACCTGAATACTGTTATCCCAGGCTTGTCAATATATTAATTTGAACATTAAAGATGTGTTCAGTAATTTTTATTAAATAATTTATTTAAGGGATAACAATCCATTAAGATAAAATACTACCCGTATTTTGCACGTGAATATCATACAATATATGATGAAATTTTTTAATTACATTTTATATCGAATTACCTGTGAATACTAATTTTCAATCAAACAAGTATTAAAATGCTTTATAACCGCAGGCACATTTGTGTACAAGTGGAAAACTCTATTATATATTATAAACGTATTACATGATGTTGATGAGAAGACTAAATATAGCACTAATGTAATAAAAAGTAAAACAAATATATATAATTTGAAAGTATTTAGATGTGGTAGGATTACCATGCACTGGGGCAACTATACCTCAGTGACCAAATGAAGTGGAAGTAGGCAACTTTAGGTCTGTACAAATGGCCTTCAACAATAAACAAAACAACAGTAAGCTATAACAGGCCTCGAAATGAAAAAATGTAAAACAATCCAAACAAAAAAACCAATGGCCTGATTTATGCTTAAAACAACAAAGATAGATAGACAGCTAGGAATGACTTTCACTGAGTTAAAGGTTCTTAAATTTTGATATGCACATATATAATATGGTGTGATTAAACATGTTTGCGAGAGCTCAAACTTTTCCTAACCTGAGACAGTTAGTTGTGTGATGGTCCAACATAAAAACCGCTTCGCGAATCAGTTAGAAAGTATTCACACAGTTACCGAATATGCTAAATCTCACTGTGACACATGTCATACTCTAATTTAAAATGTAGATGATATGGTGTTGCGTCTGCATAGTATCAGATTTGTATCCTGTAATTTGAGTGTATTGAAAGAAAAAAGTAAAATAACAAAAATACCGAAGTCCAAGGGAAATATCAAATGGCTAAATCAAACATCCTTTACCAATGATATCAGGGAATATTTCATAATGTGCGTGTCATATGTCACTTCATAATCCAGGAATATATTAGTTAGTTGAAGTTGTAGTTCATGGCGTTGGTATGCTTGTTTTTTTGGGTTTTTTTTTTTGTTGTTGTTTTTTTTTTTTTTTTTTTTTTGGGGGGGGGGGGGGGGGCAATTAACAATAAATCACTAAGAGTAAGTAAGTACTAATCTAAAGTGTGTCAGTGAGGGAATAGCATATCAGTTATTAAACTTAAACTACTTATCTTTGTTAGTTTTTTTCTAAATCTTGTATAATTTAACTGAATTCCATTGATTAATATTTAACACAAAAAATGTTTGTTTGTTTTGTTGCTTTTTTCCGAAGAAAGAAGGTGTATACTGTTTACCCTTGTCTGTTCGTCCATATGTGTGATGAAATAGTCATCGAAATTTTTTGTACAATAGAATAGTTCGTAAAAGTTATGTAATTTTTATGTTATTTATATATTCTTAATCTCTTATAATCTGTCTGAATTTAAATTGTATATTAACAAAAATGATCAAGAGAATCACAAATAAAAATGCTATTTATTTTAACTTTATATTAATTTTTATTATTATGTATGTATGTTTGTTTGTTTGTTTGTATGTTTTTTTTTTTATTTATTTATGTCATATGTAGTACACAAATTATGCAGATATTAAATGTTGCTGCTAAATTTATTTTTATTTTCTATTTTAAAATTTCGTATTTACTACAACAAAAAATTGCAATTGTAAAGTCTTTGATGTCATTGGTTTTTTCTTCTAATTTTATAAAAGTTTTTTTAATGCTGAAAAACTGACTTTACGGTGTCTTTCTGGAATGTTATATTTTATAATATATCTTTTTCTCGAGTGCCAACAAATAAATTCGATAGATGTTGTTTTAGTGAATGGGTGTTGTGTTAAAACAACACACTTATATTATTAGGAAAAAGGGTAGTTTAAAGCTAATAGTAATTTTGCACATTGAAAATATCCTTTTTGTAATAACATTTTGAATTGAAATGTAATGGAGTCATAAGGTAAATGGTTTAAAAACTTAAAAGTAAGACAAAACAAATGAAACATGTTGCATTAAATGATTTGAAATAAAATACAGTCCATGCGCTTTGATATGTATGTGCCTTTTTGTTCTTTATCTTTATATATATTTATGTGCTTGTTTTTATTATCGAATAAACATTTGATATGCTAAGCAGTTGTGTGAGTAAATATATATATTACCTATTTACTTTATATTTAATATGCTCATACTTATAATATAGCAAAGTGCTCTCGACCAATGAAAGTGTAGAATTTGGTGTTCCTTAATTGTGAAGACTGAATGTAAATTATGTTCTTAGAAAGGGCTTATCCTTCTGTTTAGGTCTATTTACAGTTCAAAACAAAGAATTTCTATCCATGAGTTACAACAGCCTGAATCACATTTTTTATGATTATTGATTGAAAGTTGAATTTTGAAACAAACAAAAATGATCAAAATAAGTTTGAAGTTTACTTGTGCAGTACAATTGATACCGTTTGTATTATTGTGTGAATATTTAGAACTTTCAATTACAACAAAAAAATAAGCAATATCAAGAAGAAAAAGAAAAAAAAACAACTTTTAAAATTAGATATAACCTAAATTTTTAACTACATGTTTTACGCTTATCAAAACTCAGATTACTGTATTCTCAGTTAGTA